TCTATCTAAAGAACTTTTCATAAAATTAAAACACCTAACAGAATCATGCGACCATTCCATCAATTCGCAAATCCAATTTTTCTAGAAAATCAAAAACATTCAAGTAGAAAACAATGAAATAATGGTGTCCTTTGATGTCACAGCATTATAAACTTCAATTGGTCCAAGACTAGCAGAACAAACCATGCAACAACTAGTCTATAGCGATGAAAACACAAAAATACAATGTTCAACCTGGACAAAACTCATAGAATTACGTCTTACAACATACTTGCAATTAAATAATCAGATATACGAACAGATAAAAGGAACATCAATGGCATCCCCCATATCAGGATTAATAGCTGAAGCCATTATGCAGAGATTAGAATTAATAGCTCTACCTATAATTAAACCAAAGACGTTATATTGAGGATATATTTGTAATAATTAAAACAAATGATTAGGAATATACCCACAAATTAATAAGCAACATATTTGAAGACATTGAATTCACAAGAGAACAAGAATTAGACAACAAAATTCCATTATTAGATGTCTAAATCAATAGAACCAACATAAGTATATAGAAAATCAACGCACACAGACCAAATACTCAACTATATTAGTAATAACTCAATTACCCACAAAAGAAACTGTGTGCAGACATTGTTTAAAACAGTTCAAACACAATGTAGCACTCCAGTTTTGAAGAGAATAGAGGAAAAATACCTACTAACCATCTTCAAAAAGAGTGCATATCCTCACAATTCCATCAAAAAGTGTTTAAATTCGAGTCATAACACCAACAACAAGAAAACATAGAAAATCACAAGGAAACTCATCCCACTATTTTAGACAAAAAATATCTCTGAAATAAAAGCTAGAATATTAAGACCGTTTGAAATAAATATAGCACACAAGCCAGCACAATCACTTCATTCGATATTCTGCAAACCAATGGGTCTTTAGAAGCTGGCGGTATCGACGTTCGCGAATTGTACGGAGTATACTGATGCAAGATCTTATACCAACAACTTCTATAGTATTCGTTTCTCGTGTACCGAAGATAAAGCAAAAGGCTAGATTGATCAACCAAAGTACGTGACATATTTCAGGACCAAATAGTAAACCATTTTGAGTGCTAAGCTAGCTAGTAATCGTGCACGCACGCGACACGATGGAGTACCAAATGGCAAGGATGCTTGACCGGAAGCCTTCAGCTAAACAAGTCGACTTAAACAGTGAGGGTCCGCATCCGATGTTCAGTGATGATTGCTGTAGTCAATAATTTTGGGGAATTATTTACCGCTACAGGTCCAACAGAAAAAGAAGATAAAATTAATATCATTTACAAAATAAATTGTACGAATTGCAATAAACATCATATCGGTCAAAGTGGGCATCCCCTTCGAATCCAAATCCAAGAACACATATTGTCTGTAAAAGGACACGACATATATTCTTTCGTATCAACGCATGTAGATAATTATGGACACCAATTTGATTGGGATAATTTAGAAATTTCAAGTAGACGAAACATCAAAAATGCAGACAGGGAATTTCTAGAAGCCTGGTTATGTACTCAAGCGAATCAACAATTAACAAACACACTACTATGGACCAAATTTACCAGGTAATAAAAAGTAAATCACATGACAAGAAATTTCGAATTCCAAGTCAATAAAATGATCAACTGAGACGTAAATTAACAACCTGTCACGATAGTGGTTCCCAGGGGATACATTTGCATCATTCATGGAGAATTTAAGTAAGTTCATTTTATACCAAAACCTGCTCTGAAGATATTGTCTAGAAGGACGATGGAGGCTTCGCAATTAAATCAGCTAGGTCAGAGAACACAACTAATTCAATATCGTCCACCTGTGCTAAAAATCTCCGCTTTTCAGTAATTATCTGAAGTCATTTCTTTGTTGTTTTGGCTTTATGAGAGAAAATGTTCTGACAGCAGTCGGTATAATCGTCAGAGTGACATTAAGGATATTTTTTGCTATAGCTTCGAAGATCTTTTGGTAAAACGCACCAACTTTAGAACGATGTGAAGGTGTGAAGTTAACGCACTGAGTCACGTCTAAATATTCCTGTAGAGCTGAGCAGGTCGTCTTTACCATATACCCCATTGTAAAACATTCGAACACTACCCAGAATGGTCAGCACAGAAAGAAAGGAATTGTAGCTTCAGTTCAGTAACACGGCATCTTGTGAACTCACGAAGTCTGGTTCCATCCGAAAATTCCTTAAAAACTGTGTACAAGAGCTGATCAAGTCTATAAATGGGATTAGGGTCAAGGTATCAGGGCGAAGCAGAAGCACGAGTAATCTGACATTCTAAATCACTGTTAGATATACAAAAGCTAAGCTTAACCCTTGTCTTTATCAATGCTATTACAACCAGCCTACCTTCTAAATAAAACCATTACTATCTAGTTATGTTTATCACCCAAACTCTCTGCCTATTTTCTTGTTTTAATCATTATTTTTATTGTTTAAATTCATTTTATCGTCCACTACATTTGGACTCTTTTTAGGAAATCATTTTGGAAATTTCTTGCGCCTTTGTTAGAAATTCATGAATGTTCGAACTGAAAGATAAGATCATCGAATAAAACTTTTCATTGCAACTATCTGCACTGGGAGAATTCGAGGCTGATCCCTGGTCAATTAACTAATTTACTTTATATCCCAGTAATACATGTGAAAAGCTATCGGTTCGGCACCTGCTGAGTCTGCCGGTCAAATCTTTAAAACTTTACGGATAAAACTAAATGGAGCTTACAAAAGCACGTTCTCACAATTATTTGGCATTTAGAAATGTCAAGAGCATAGAAAGCATAACGGTTTCATTCATACCTATCTTGCATGAATAAAAGGACCTTACGGATGTTTGTTCTCCAACAAGATTGAACTAATCCTATAATCTTCTGCTTAAGTGGGTTTATTTTTCAACTCATCACTGATTCGAACCATATCAGTCAGTTTAATTAACGGTAACTGCTGTCATCTAAGTTAAAAAATGAAATATTACGAACTAATACTACTACTTGTTCTTACTTCCTTAGAAAGTCAATTTTGAGAATATCTTATTGAACTTAAATTTGACCTTAGCTTGTTTGCTATTTTCCCTATACTCCTAGTTCACCGTATGCCATGGATTTTTATTTTTCACTTCAACCATTGTTAACTATATTTAATGTTTTAGTCCCGTCAAAACTGAAACTGATGGAAAACTTTGCTGTATTAGGAAGTCAGTATGAATTTTATCACAAATGAGAAAAAGTTAACAGACCACTCAAAACCAGGAAGTACTGAAAGCCTTTTTGTTCTAGTGTTGGAATGTTTGAAAGCGCTTATTAACTGACAACATTTATTGTACTCAAAACCCTCAAGTTAATCGGCGACAGTCGCTATTCACCTACTGTGATAGAGTTTTATCTTCCATGAACTTTATCTTTTGTCAGCTTGTGAAACAGATGCGATTCCGCCAAGTATCAATGATGTATGTTTTTGACCCACACAGCTTATGATTTGTCAGTAAAACTTCAGGAAATTCATCTTGACACCAGTCAAAAAAGAGCATAAGTTCACTATTCAGATGTTGAGTTAGTGTGGATATGATTAGCTTCAAGAGAATTGCGCTAGAAACCGTCACAAATAAGAAGTATAAGAGACAAGGAGTCATTTTAATCTAAGGACCTAGTTGTTTTCATTTTTTTCACATATATGGGATGAAAATTGCTTCAGTTAGCCTTAGTTTCATTGGTTTACCTTTTCTGTTATTATGAATAACTGTGGTAATTTTGTTACCATTGTCATTTTCTTGCTGATATGCATACTGTTTCACGCCTTATAAACTTATCAAAAATAACTTGACAGATGCAAACTGTATGAAAGTATATGTTTGCCTACCACTAGCAATAGCTACAACGTTCTCATTCGTAGGCGCAAACAACCCTATTTTACATTTTTAAACTTCAAACAACAGAGCGTAATTAACATCTTAAACTGTTTCACGTGACTTCATCCCAGTAAGCGGAACATTTAACTTTATCAAACAATTGTCATTCAGTAATATACATGTACCTACATTCTATGAAAGAGTACATATATTTTGTTTTACTTCAGTTTTCACCCTCATCGTCAGTGTAACATGATGCATAGTTTGGGTTCTATGTTTAATTTGTGGACTTTTCACTAATGCAAGTCGAAGGAGTCTGAAAGTGATAAAAAAACAGGTTTGTGATATCTCTCAATTTTTAAATGATGACTTATTGCAATGCGTAATGGCTTTGAATCTAAAATGCAAACAATTATGAACACTGGAAGCAAGATAAGCTTTCCGAAACAATAAATAGATTTTCATATCTGTTCTGAAGATCCATATCTGATTATAAAAGAGATTATTCGAATACCACTAGTAATTCATTCATTCTGTCAATCAGCATTTAAAATTATAAATGGAAATGAAAAAATATATATTCAGTTAAACATTCATCGGAAAGTATGTATAACCTTGAGTACACTTTTCACCTTCCTTGAAGTATGCTTAAAAGCATTTTTTTTTGTATACAAGTACTTTTAACCATATTAGATTATTTTATTTTAAATCGCACACAGCGATGCAGTATTAACAATTGGATGACGTTTCAGACAGAATTTATTGCTCATAATCTACCACAGTGCCCAAGTTCTACACTTACACTAATGATACTTTTAACCATTTCATGTGCTACTTATACATAATTTTATTTACTTTACAATTGAATGGGTTTTTTTTATTCAGAGTGATACACTTGGATAGCTAATTTCTTTTCTATAGTTTTCCTACATATTAAGTGATCTTTTTTTGAGTATTCAGTTCAAATATAGTTGTCTCAAAAGAGGATGTAAAAAAAAATATTGCGTAACTGTAGGCAAGCAATTGGATTATTTGTGAATTATTCTATGGATTATAGATGAAGAAAGAATATTAATAGGGTTTCAAACCAGACAGACTTACAGAAGGAACAACTATTATTAATAAAGACTTCATTTACATCAAAAACAAAATGAAGGCTCTACTGTTGATTTTCTTTGCTGTTTTAGTGTCTACTGAATATGTTCAAGGTATGCTCAATTATATCACCTTGTTTGAAAAAGATTGTCATGTTTAATTATGTTTATATGATGAAAGTAATACATGAAAATGCAGACATTCACATTATTATTATTTATTATTGTTCCCTTGGGTTCCAAGTGGAACATAGGGCTTCAACTACACGTCTCCACTTGCTTCCGTCTTCTGCTGTACTTTTCACCTGCATCCATGTTAGTCCATACTGTTTCAGCTCCTCTTCACACGATCTCCTCCATGTCACCCTTGGACGTCCCACTTGCCGCTTCCCTTTTGGGTTTCACTCGAGGGCCTGACGCACGATGTCACCCAGCGGCCTCCTCAGCGAGTGTCCAATCCATCTCCACTTTCTCCTGCATATTTGTTGGGCGATTGGTTCTTGTTTTGTTTGTTCCCATAGAGACATTCACTTACTGGCGCTTAATATAGTTAAGCAACACCCAAGAAAAGGTGTTAAGCTTTGATTTAAGATCACTAGTGGTACTCTTCACCTGAAATTGTTTAAAATTGAATAGGGTATCTATCTGTCTATCTATCTATGCCATTACCATTTGTGCTAGTATACAAAACTATTTTCATACTCTCTACATCCTTATAGTCATCATCAATATATAACTGTATCCTTAAATGATTCAAAAAGTATCATTTTGTTTTATTTTACATAAAATTATTACAGGTGCAGCACTCAAGAAAATTGGTATGTAACAGAATAAAATCTGTCCAGTTACCTGAAACTATTTTTTTGTCTATTTATTCAATGAAAACATTTAAATATTCTCATCTAGGCATTTCAGAATAACCATTATTATTGTTAGGTGCAAAGTAGTTTTAACCTCTGATACTCAATGGTTTTGATATACATTACTACTAGTAAAGAATAGCTAAGCATTGGTTAATTGCTAATCTAATGTCACTGTTTGGTTTACGAGAGCTATCAGTGTAATCCAGGTGACATATTTCATCCTATTTGGAACTCACTATCTGAATGCATGTAAAATCTCTTGCTTTTAATCTTTTCTTCTCTTTACTGACTGTCAGACCGAATCGACTGAAAAAAAGCTGGTACAAAGTATGATGATGGTTTAAAAAAAAGTAATTTTAAACTAAGCATTTAATCAAGACCGAAATGATTAGTCCTCATGTCCGCATTAGTATCAAGCTTGACAAACAGGAAAAACTCTATGCGATTAGGTGAAACTGAGGTCTAGTTATTGATCAAAAGTGGTAGTACCAGTGTTTCCACACTGAGAATCAACACCAACATCCATCGTTTCAAATGCCGAATAACTAATAACTAGGGTAAGCAAAGCTACAAATAACCTAATCTAGTTCTGTAAATCCCTATCAGTTGCAGTTATCTCTAAGAGAGGCTATAATTGGTTGATGCCAAGTTCGACTAATAAGGCGGAGTCTAACGAGTAAGTGAACTGAGAGTAGGAATATACACTGACTCAGAACTTCACTTAGTTTAAATGAAAAAAATGGCTATATGACAAATGGTTAAAGGAAAGTAAGCGTTTTCTATAAAATGGACTTAGGGATTCAGTTTTGTTAAAAATCATAATTTCCTGATCAGCTTTCCTCTTCAAAATATTAATTAATCATGGTATTAGATGTGTATAATGAGAGGAAGATGACAAAAAGTAGAGAATTTAGCACTAGAACTTGCTTAGAAAATAGTTACTGATACAAATTCAAATTAGGAAAGATTTAAACAACATAATCATATAACGAAGACAGTTTAAGGCAAGTAAAACAGCACTTCTTAGTGAGTGGTTGTCATTATTAGGACAAAAGTGCAATTTACATTGTTTTGTAGTTAGTATTTATTTCTTAGTTGAATTGCTTCTATAGAGAGGGCTATTTGCATTACACTTATAGGTATTTTTTCAGCAATTAATGTTATTCCTGAGGATATGGAAAACTGAAGTCAGCATTGATTCTGATTTGGACTTATGAAGTAGTGAATACATAATAAATGAAACAGCCAGGCTTCAGTATAACATAATTTTTTCTATGAATTAATGCGTGTGTAAAACTTAGATAATGCCGTAGTATGCGATTCGATAATAATTTGTTTATTGAACATATCACCCACTGAAACAATATTATTTACTGGAAGACGTTTCTAACACAGTTTACTATTCACAAGAGATCTGATCATGAAGAATAAATTGTTTTCGAATTCGCCATCCAGGAAAAAACACAGTTTCTCTGAACTTTTCGATTATTCTACGTGTTCATCCATTTTGCATAGATGAAATTCTAATGATTTGGATGAATACTTGCAGTTACAGAATGAAAAGTAATTGTTTTGATTATAAAAACAATCTACAAACAATAATGTTTACTGACTGTTTTTCACTCCGGCGAGATTCTCTGATTTCTCTAATAATTCCGTTTAAACTAAACGTCTGGTCACCTCATTAAAATATGACTACTACGTCTTCATTAGATGTAAATTTCGGTGTTAATAATTGCAATATGGATGTTTTATACAGCATGGGAAATCTGTAGTCTTCATTTGAACTCTAATACATACACCGAATTAATAATAATAGTAATTATTACTAATACTACTAATACTATTATTATCATTCTTTTCTTGCTTTCCGAGTGTAACATAGGACTTCATACACTGAAAGTACTTCATTATCTAGGGTCTATCACACAGTCTGTCAAATATTATCGCCAACTGTCTCTCATACTCCTACAGTTACCGTGCTACATAATGATGAACGTACTGACGGACATCAAATACGCCTTGCAGGATATGATTTCATTGTTTTTGGCATGATTAACAATGGAGTATTGGAATTACTTTCCTGTACTTCTAAGCTGAAGTAAAAGTAAAGCTTAGATTCAAGCATATTCAAATAAAAAGCATGCTGAATATCACTTTGTCAGTATCATACTACTTTTAAAGTTAAGCAGTAGTGAATTATTTTCATATGCTGCATATATGACTGCAAGGGTTATTTGATTCAGAGCAATAATACACTAACTTACTGAAATCTTTAAAATTTGCCTTAATTTCATTTATGAACAATCCATGAAGTCTCATCATTTTCCTTTCAGTCGGTGAATGGTTTAAGGAAAGTAAGTGTACTTGATTATTTGGTTATATTGGGTATTCACTAAACACAGAATTCAGCAACTGGTGTCTCCCCACTGTTGTATATACTCTTAACGCCTAAGTCAGCTAGACACTGATGCTTTTTTCGAAAGATACCCAAAGTGCATCCAGTACTTTGTAGTCAGTCAAATTCCCATTATCATATTATGCTGTAGTTAAGTATTTTGAAATGTTCTCTGTAGTAAAAAAACTGATTTAAAATAGTATATTTTATTGTCATATTTACTGGACTTTAAGCAAAGTTGTAAAACATGAAAATTTACTGCACTCAATTAACGTCAAGTTAATAAGTTAGAAGCTGAGATCTGAAAATTCTTGTAAACTGTCAATGTCTCCTATTAATCATTATTAATTTTTATAGTTTTAACAAATTACCTTTCGTAATCAGAGTATTGGAATAGTTAAATATGAATTTTACAGTATGTGTTTGATTTCGGACAAAAATGATGCTAACAGTTAAAGACAAACACTTAATAATTTAAATGTTAAAACCTACCTCTTGCAATCTGTAGGAACTGAATCCATTTACCTACTGGGTTGTGATAATTTCCCACCTAAGAGTTACTGTTTATGATAAAATAGAAATGTAACATTTCATGAACTTGACTTGCTTTCTTCCTGACGTTCGCTGGTTATATTTATATCAATGTAGCGGTGTGGAAAAGGATTACAAATTGATGTACTCACTAAAAAGCCAAAACTGTTATACACCTTATTCAAAAAAAACTGATACATGTTTGTTATCACAAAAAATTTTCTATTCCATGTAATGCACTAAGTATTTATGCGTTAAGCTTTCGAGATAATTTTTGTTTTACAGTTATGAAAAGGAAGGTATTCACGTAAACATTTAAATCGCTCTTCATTTTAAATAAAGCTCTTAGTAAGATTTTAAATCACTGTAAGTTAAGAGTAGGGATTATTTTGACCTTGTTAAACATGAATCTTCAGGAGGTACAGATGAAACTGAATATTAAGTTTTGTTAGTAGATCAGGGTTATCGTCCACCTCTGCGTGTATTGATCAAAGATTTGCAGTATAAATTATCTCTTGCAATTAGTTGTGTTTACTGAGATAGTTGGTTTAATTGTGGAGCTTCCGTCGTCCTTTTGGACAACATCTTCAACGCCAAAGGTCGACAAAAGCTACGCAGTTAAACCAACCAGCTCAGCGAACACATCTAATTGCAAATTATCCTCCTGAGCTACAAATATTCTCTAATATAACTTATCTTTGTTTACTAGAGTTTGGACAAGGAAATAGACAGCTGTTTTGTCTCACTGAATACTTCTAGTAAATAGGAAGATAATTCGTGTCATAATTTTAGGTTACTAAAATGGTCGGCAAAAAATGTTAGACAGCTGATGCAATCAACTATGCGATAATCATTCATTACCTACATTCTGATTGTATGCAAAAAATAAGCAGTTTACAACTTGTAATCTATCAATCATTTTGTTGCTGTCATGGTATTGGACTGAGTTATAAGGAGAATCCAACTTTGTTTGCTAAGTAATAATGAGTTATTGTGGTGGCTAACAACAATGCACCTTCCTAGTAGATTTTCGGTGTCCCATTTAGTAATGCAGAAAACTCCAGCATATACCACTCAAACACGTGTTTTAACAGAGCAACAGAAATTGAGATGGTATCATAAAACTCAAGGAGAAAACTTATAGTGTGACAGTCAACCACAAGCAGTGAGAGTCTATCTGTCTAAGAGATATTATTTGGATAGTGTGAATTTTGATTAGCATACTTCGAAGCCGATCTTTAGTCACACACACAATGTGACTGTAGTCTATGTGCGCTAGATGCTATAAGTGACGACTTTTACACACAAGTGGATATGGAACCAGTGGCTTTCCAAACACGTTTTATGAATCCAAATATATTAAAGAAAATCTAAACAAACTATAACTGTCTATATTTAATTATCTGTTTTTATATTTTCACTCCAGTCTTTCAAGGAGGTAATTTGTTTGAAATTGCTAATAACCTGTTCATAAAATCTATGGATTTTGCTGAACTGAACGGAGGCTAGTTAACGGAATTAATTAATAGGTTAGGCTTGTTAGTTGCTAGAAAAAATAAAGAAAGTTTTAGCTGTTATTACTATTATCATTACTAGATGACCTACTTGTGTGCTATGAATTACATTATTTTTATTTCATTATTCTCTTGGATTCCAAGTGGAACATAGGCCCTCATTAGCACATCTCCACTTTGTTTTATCTTCTCCTGTCCTCTTCACTGGTACAGTCGACCATGATCTTTCATCTCCTCCTCGCCATACTATCTCTTCCATGTCACCCTCGCACTGTGAACCCACTAGTCGCTTCCCACTGGCATACCACTCGGAACATTGCCTGGCGCACGATGTCATTTGACGGCCTTCTCAATGCATGTCCGATCAATCTTCATTTTCTCCTACACATTTGCTGAGTGACCGGCTCTTCGTTGGTTTATTGCCAGAGTTTACTGCTGTTATTAATTCTTTCTGACCATTTGATCTTCAGTATGGAGCGAAGGCAGTTATGATAAAAGTTTGTAACCTGTTGGAAATCCTTTTCGCGATACACAGTGCACGTTTCTGACCCGTATGGAAGCACCAACTGACTTCACATTTGTTTTGGAAAATCCGAATATAAATATTCATATATAATTATCATTCTTAGTGAATAAGTGTGTACAATTTTGCCGAGTCTCATTGCAGGACGGCACATTCATTCAGAGCTGAATAATTTTAATAGATTAGTGACACAGTCTCATATATACTGTATTAGTTTAACTTCTTTTTCCATTGAAACAAAATTTCGACTTTCTCAAAGTTCTGAAATTGTACACCAGTTACGATAAGTAACAGTTTGTCTACTAGTAATTTGCATTCAATGAGTTCAAGTGTCATGCATATTTAAGAAACTCCAGATTAAAAAAATATCGCTCCTTTTATAAGTTGTAATAAGCCAATGTTGCTTGAAAAAAAGCATGTTTTTATTCCTCATATTCCCTAAAAATTCAAAAATACATGAATTGGGGAAGTATAGAAGTTTCTGATGATATTCTTGTAAAACTTAAGTGTTCAGCAGTTCATCACTGACACAATATATGCAATTAAAATTGTTTACATTACAGTTTCATCTATTATTAACATAAAAATTATTGCTAAATTGAGCGATGTTTGAAAGTGAAATAAAAGAACTGTTGCCATCACCGTATTACTATTCCCAAGGCTTCTTATTTAACCCTACTAAGATATAGGTTCTAACTTAACGTCTAGTCATCGCTCATTGTAAGGACAGCAGTCTGTCAATCGAGGACTGTTTCGGGCAGTGTCACCAACAGTTAATAGAAATTACTTTATCAAAGCAAATGTATAAATTGAAATAATTAAGTCATGTTTTCTACCTCATCTAATAGCATTTCTAACCAGATAAATTTGATTTAAGGTGTCTCAAACAGTAAGTTAACTTGAATACTCAATGCTCAAAATCTGTTCTCTCTCTCTCTCAGTCTATTACTGAACATATATATTATCACTTATAAAGAACCCTATAGTGTAGTACTGAAGTAAAATGCATATTTTATTCATATCATTTGACTTACTGGTTATGTAATGAACTTTATCGAAAGAGTGCTATTTACCCCAGAGGCATATGAGCTGCCTGGTTCACAATATTTATGTATTTATCGAAATAATACAGACTGTAAATTTTTTTAAAGTACGGAGGGCAGCTGAATTATTGATCATGATATGTTTTTACAAAATGCCAGTACTAATAAAAATACAACAACAGTCATTAAATGATCAGTGAAATGTCATTGCATAAACTGTCCCTTAATTCGACTTAATTAATTCATTAACATTTTTAATTTACTTTTTACATTTTTAATGTTTTTCAACTAGTGCTTAATCATGGTAGGTTTATTAGATTACTGATTATCAGTGTTTCTAATGATAGAAATTGTAGGGTCAACAATGCATTGTTTAGAATTATGAATACATATTTGTACAAAGATATAAATATTAAAAGTAGTAATCAGTTAAATTATTATTTTTTTTAAATTGACTGAATTAATCACTGTTACAAAACTCATTAGATAAAACACAAAACTGAGTTTAATATCAATGCAGGCAGTCGCATAAATGAAGTCGTTTCAGGTCACGATGCACTATAAAACTGTAGAAAAAATTGATAAACAAGACGAATTAGCAGTAAGTCAATGTACACGAAAAATTAACAAAATGATAGGAATAAAATAAATGTAAGCTTTGATGATTTCATATGTGAAAAAGCGTTATATTATCTACGTTAAAACATTCAACCTTCACCTTGTGGATTCAGGATCTACAGGTTATATAATTCTACATAGGACTTGGAATAACAATCAAGGACTTCATGAACAGAAGCTTAAGACATCTTCTGAAGCAGATATTAAATTAAAGTCAGTTAACACCATCATTCAGATGATTAGATATGTGGCCTAAGTTTGAAAAACTGAAACATCATTGTGATGATATTACTCTTATTCCCAAGGGTTCTGAGTGGGACCTGTGGCTTCATAAGTTTATATCCATTTCAACCTGCTTTTGCTGGATTCACGACTGACCGTAAGTTTTCACTTCCTCTTCACACGATCTCCTGCATGTCAGCCTCGGACGTTAGAATTATCGTTTCCCATTGGGGTTCCACTTGACGCCCTGGAACGCGATGTCACTTAACGGTTTCTTGAGTGCATATGTCTATAACATCTCCATTTCCATCGGCATATTTCCTGGTTGAAAAATAGGATGGTTCGTTGTTAGAGTTATCTGTTACTACACCTTTTTGGTCATTTGATTTTCAATTTCGACCGAAGGCAGCTGTCGATGAAATTTCGAAGCCTGTCGTAAATGCATTTAGTGCAGGATGACGCTGCATATTATTTTGCTTGGTACGGACCGCAGCATGACTCCGTGTCATTTTGGACCCAGGCCCAAGTTGTCTTCTTTATCATTTTGGCAAAGTCACCCTCCTTTCAATCAGTGGGTAGCTTTCCTTCCTTTCAAGTCTTCTACAATAATGGCGTGAGCATATCCACTGAGATCTCTGGATCCGTCCTCATTGATTCCATCTGGTTCTGAAACCTTTGCAACCGGCTTTCAGCAGCTTTATGGCACTCAAAACTTCCGCTTTTGTGGGGGATTGAAGTCAACTGGCAGTTCAGTGTCTGCTGTTGGCAGTATATCTCGACGAGTTGTAGTTGGTGGGTTCATGAGTTCATTGAAAGGATCAGGCCATTGTTTCCTTTGCATCTCCACTTTGGTAATTGGGTTTTCTGCTCTATCTCTCACTGGTTTCGTCTGTGTTGATCTCTTGCCGGATAATGTCCTGATTATTTCATTCAATGTCCTGAGGTATCCCTTATCTATGGTCTCTTCTGCTTCTGCTGCCAGTGCGTCGAAGAACTGTATTTTGTCTTTCCTAACACTCTTCACCTTTTTATTCATTTAGTTGTATATCGACTTCACCTTCTCTTTTCGTCGTCCATCTTTGCATTGGTTCCTCTTCTGTCTCACAATCGATATCTTCCCTGTTACCTCCGAGGTATCTGTTATGATCGTATGTACACTTGGTAATTTTTGAGCCGACTGTGCTAATTACTATTCACGATATCAATTACAACGACGACATTACACGATACCGTCGGACACATGACGCAAGTAGACAGAAGAGAGGAAAAGAATGTTGAGGTGGAGTGCGTTTATTAACTCGTATCAATCAAGCAAAATATTTGTTAACAAACTTGTGTACCTACAGTTTAAATATATATGACCATGGGAGACATAAGTTACATTGAATAAATAATCGATCCTTCATAATCAAAAACCAATTGTATTCCAAGTCACGAGGAAGGTAACAGAAATATAAACAACAAAATGGCGTGTGTTAGGAAAATTATTTATATATAACAGTATCCACAGACAACTATCCCATATCTTACTTATCCTTCTTTCTTAAAATAACTATACAAGTTATATTTTATGTCGAGATTCTTCGAAGGCTCTCAGCCTCACCTTGAAGGTTTCTTCTACTAGATAACGATCTGAGACAACATCTGTTCCTCTCCTTGACTTTGTATCCCGCGGACTGCATCTCTAATTTCGTGAGATTGCAATAAATTCTGTCTGAATTTTGGTTCGTCCATCTGTCGGAAACCATGTCAATTTGTGTGTATCACTATACTGTTGTACGTTGCCTCCGATCACCGAATCATTGAAGGTGCAAAAGTTTGTGAAGAGTTCGCTGTTCCTATGCATTTCACTGAGAGCCTTCTGACGCATGATAAGGTCTCCTATCACGTTGACCGCTCCCATTTAGCGTTCATATCACCTACTTAGATTTTGGTGTTACGGTTTGGCTTTGGTCTGGGCAGTCACTGCTTACAGCCCTCTGTGGGAGTCTCTCTTCTACTCTACTGCTTCTACTTTATTTGCAGGAGCTTAGCGTTGGATAATTTTACCTTTCCTACGTTTTGAGTTGAATCTTGCTGTCGTTGTTCTGGAAGAGATTGGTTCTCACTGAACAAGAGCCTTCGATGCTGTTGGGGACACCATGACAGTCACTCTCACAGTGGGTTTATGGTTGTCGTCTGGGTGACCGGAACAAATTACTGACTCTCCAGTTAACAGTTACTAAAGTCTACTACTATTCCACAAGCCGTCACAGTTTCAAAACATTTTTTGGCTCATTATAGTTTAACAGCTTTTAGAAAGGAGCTTTACACTGCCATGAATCTGGTAATCCGGAAAATATACAATCTAAAATGTGCTTTTATACAAAAAATGATGAGTATTTTCATTTCTACAAACTCTTCTCGGCTGACATTAGGAAGTGTTTAAGCTAATTTCGGATAACTTAAAAGTTGGGCTGTCATTAACGTGTATTATTCGCTTTAGTCACCAAGTATTGTTAATCGTTTCTACTGAAAAGTAATTTGGAGTATATTAAAATAGAATTATCTTTTCACAATATTAAGTAGTGTAACTAGTGGTTTGCTTGTTAATTGACAATATTTTTATTTTGTTTTAATTTTCTAGCAATAAACGAATGTAAGTTATGCCGTGATCAATATAAGCCTTTCAACAAGGTGAAGGTATAATAACAGCTTTTGTAAATATCATTTTTAAATTATTACTAGATAACTTATTCCATCTTGGTACTCGTGTGTACATATTTAACACAACCGACTTCGATGGTCAAACTATTCAGAACTGCGTTTGGCTAGCAAGCTTATATTGGAGTGATGAGTGTTGAATAATGGTGAAGTGAAAATCCGTTTAGCATCAAGACTTAAAGCAGCAGTCTTTGGATTACTAGGTATACGGTCCACCGACTGAGCTCCGCGAACCATAATTTAACCATGTCTACATGAATAATGCCTAGCTGTCATAAGAATGAATGATACAACACTATCCGTTTGTTACTACACTATGTGTTAAATGTTTCAAAACTTATCTTGTGAATCAGACTGATAGATTAAGATGGCTCTTGAATAAATGAAGAAATAACATAGTAGAGACAGTGCTCTATGTCAAAAGTCTCTGGACAAATATGGTAAGGAAGTTATTCGCTGCAGATTGTTCATAAGTTAAATTGTTTCAGAAAGATGACGCCAAATCTTTTTAACAGTCTAAACATGAAATATAAGTCAATATTCTTGTCTGGAAAAAGCCTCCACTGCGTTTTATGCCATAATGCTTATTTTCCAGTACAATTCACATTTATTCAACTCAGACTACCGATATGCCAAGGAAAACAAGATATAGGGTTGGAAAATAAACAGATGACAGTAGTCAGAGGAAACCACTTTTACATTTTATATCAGTAGGATTTATTTGATTGTCAAGTTAGAACGGTTTAGAGTTGGAATTTTCAGGTTGAAAGCACTCTCTAGAAATTTTTACTCAGTAGGATTCGCCTTGTTTCTTGTTTTAATCTCCTTATAGACAAGAAAATAACATTGTACAGAGACAGGGCATTATAAATACAGCTATTAAACTCTCAGGTGTTCTGTGAAATACTCATTTACATGTGACCAACATATTATTCATACAGTTTTGCTGGAAGCTTTTACGATCTGTATTCCTATATCAATTAGTTGTAAAGTAGGAAGTTTCCTTTGCATAAAATGAATTTCCACTCTTTAAAGTAATTCTGGTAGAATGAGACGTTTCATTGAAATTTTGTGCAGCAACTAAACTTTAACACCTGAATAACTATCTTTCGTTATTACATAAAGTTCTACTGGTCTCTGCTTGTCATAATGAAAATTCCAAATATTTTCTGCCAATTCAGTAGGATTTTGTCAATGTTAAGGAAGACTGATTAAAGCACGGGTTGCTTAGTATGATTCATCATCCATAACATTGATGAATCTAGTGCATTTAGGATATTAAATTTATTCCTAACTAACTTCAAGTGACTTTACTTCTTAGATATTTCAAGATAAGGAAAGCCTGAAGAAATTCTTATTTGTTTCTATCATTCAGTCTTTAGAAAAATATATACAGCTGATTGATTCATATATTTCCAAGTATTGGTTTTGTAGGGATTTTGTTTGATTGCATAGAGGCTTTGGTTCATGATTACCATATATGGTATCGAGCAGATGACATACTGTGATCTGAGTAACTTGGTTTCCAAAGGAAACTATGCTGAAATTTCACCCCTCGGACTGTGTACTTTGCAAATTGCTAAGATATTTGCGAATTGTGAATTCCACTGTCTCTATTGATACAGTTTACTAATAATTGTATTATACCCATTCTTCTTTTTTGCTCCCCCTTAATCTTTCCTGAACTATATAAGAAAGACTTAGTTACACCGCGAAGGTCACTAAAAGCTGTCGGTAGGCTGAGTAGGGGTGTCATTAAACCAACTCGTTAAGATTGTTGTGGACAGAAACTTGAACTCATGAGGAAAATTAGTGAATATCACCTTGTGAGACTCCGAGCATTCTGCTTACACATAGTCCTCTTGATTTCATCTCATCAGGTAGGACCAAAAGCAATTATAAGAGAATCTACGCTAGGACGACTAAGTATAAAAACTTTAGGATACCTTATTTGGCAAGCATTTTATGTGATAAGAAAAGTGTTAGGTATGAAACTACTAACTTACTGTGAGAAAGTATGTAAACGTCGCTTTTTGCTCTTTCGATGATAAATATTGTTGCCCGCACTGCTACTGACTTTCAGTTTTACTTTTACATTCCTAGTCTTTATTGACATTATTAGCAATGTGAATGCCCTGTTAATTATTTTCCCCTCGTACTATATAAATGTGAAGAGAAATTTACATTCAGAAGTGAGGTATATGCTAAAAGTTCCACATTATATCTCACATACCGCTGGGAATAAGGCTATTATTATTATTATTCCAATCAGGTATTAGTTTTCAAACTGTTTAAATATTTGAATTGCCCATATGAGAAAGAGAAAGTAATCTTTTCAAGTATTGGTTTGCAGGGATTTGATTGATTGGTTACAGGATTTCGTCATAAGTTGACATTGGTTGGCTAACCGTTGGAAAACCTGGACAGCTGTTTCGGCCACTGGGTCGGGTCCCAGTGGCTTAATGGTCTACGAGCTCGCCTTGTAACCAGAATGTTCTGGGTTCGAACCCTGGTGAGCACGTACTGATGAAGAGTCCCAAACTAGGACAAAGCAGCTGTCCAGAAAGTGATCTGTAAAAGTTAATGGGCGATGACTTTGAGTGAAATGAAAATTTGGACCACGTCAGGATTCGAACAAGCATCGCTCCACCTACTGAGAGTATCAAGTCATTTTTCCACTACAGTCATCTCACGTAGTTCACCAATGACTTGTGATTAAATGATACATAACTGCAAATTCAAACAAATTACTGACCTCAATATTTTTCTTATCATTTTATCTAGCTGTTGGAGAGAGTAAGTATTAATTTTTAACAATTTAAATCAAAAAGTCTCTGTCATTTAATACGAAGTAAAGGTGAAAGCTGAAACGATTGAAAACTGAATAACAACGGTTTTTTAAATAAAGCCATGTGGTTAACAAAAAGGAGCAGTTAGAAAGGATGAAAGCTATTCATAAATGCTTACAACTGCTTAAAATCAGTGAATAAAAGCATATTTTAACGAATCCATAGAATTCGGACAAACTTTGATAAGTATACTAATAATTACAATTTAGTTTAATTAATGTATAGCAAAACAAATTTGAGGCATTTTGTACGTTCACTATATTTAGCGAGAAGTTTGCGAATATAAGTTGTGAATATTAGTTGACAGAATAATGTTCAGGATAAGAAGCAAAATATTTCCCTGACGAAACTGAGCGAAAGACAACTTTCTTCCTAAAATAAAGGCCCAGGGTATTAGGAGACATTTATTCTGGTCTTAATTCTTGATTTTGTAGGGCATAAAAAATCAGTAGTTGGACAAACTAAGTGGGTAAAATAAATTACTCAAAAATTCCCAGCTTTGTTTTGTAGAGCAGAAAATTAGGTACCAAACATAAATCCCAAATATGAGCTTTGTAATCTTACATTTGCAAGCAAGACGGTGGAACAAATGAAGAAGGATTACTTTAGTATGTATGAGTGTTTGTGGATTTGTCTCATTACAAAAGAGACATCAAGTAAAAGCATCAGTATGCTTGTGTCCCCTCTTCATCGTGATAACTACAAACTATTGAGAATTCCAAAGAGTTACTTAAATATCGTCAAGTATTGGTTTGAAGATTTCATCATGAGCTGACATCGGTTGGAGAACCATTGGAAAACCAGGGAGTATTAGACAGCTGTTTCCTCTGTCCTAGTTAGGGACTCTTTGACAGTACGTACCCACGGGGTTCGAAACCAGGACCTTCTGGTTGCAGGGTGAGCTCGTAGACCATTAAGCCACTGGGACCCGATCCAATGGCCAGTGCATGAATTCCAACTTCTGCCAATTCATGACATAGAGCGATCACTTTGCAGTGTCTTCGATGAGTAACTGTCCTCACCTTCGACCTGCTGTACCCTACTGGTTACAGCTTCCTAATAGAAACCCAGGTAACTGCCTGAATAGGGCCAGTCGCTAGTGACCATCTGAATTCTTAAAACGTAACTGTGGTATTACGGTGTACTTAACTAAGATTTAGAAAACGCACAATAATGATACTCTGATTTAGTTGCAGTGACTAATTAGTAAATAAATGCAAACGTTAAACTTTAATTAATAAAAGAGAGAAATTGTTGAGTTCGGGTAGTAGGCATTTATTCAATTATATAAACTCCTTCATAATTAGAGAAAGCGATTAAATAATGCATTGTTTCAAACAGCATCAAATTATTTAGTTTAGAAAGGGCTTAATCAGAAAACTTAAAGGTTCAGTGCATTAGCTTTATATGTCTTCATAATTAATAACATTTCCACTGATCATTTACACTTAGATTTGTAATTAAGTATTTTTGTAGAAGGTTCTATTTTTAGTTTCCTTTAAAAAGCGGAATAAAATGAACTGTGACTTCTATTTGTCTACATTACTGGAAATTTAAATTATATTCAATAACATTGTTTTTCCTCGCATATCAGTGATCGATTCTCGTAAGTTCGCTCATATACTTCATATAATTACAAACTATTACCTATTCATGATGAAGAAGTGTCTTACTTAAAAAATACCAGTAACAGACTCATAGAATGAGATGTTTGTTTAATAAATTATCACCTGAATTTCTAGTCATGTTCAAAAACAATATGAAAATTATTTTATTTTATGAGTTACATACTTTATAACATGTAGTGGAAAACAATTCAGGGGGCGACAGAGATAGAGAGGGACAGAGAGCATCATTATTGCTTCCAGAGGGTGGTATACTGGATAAAGTATATCGCATTGAAAAAAAAGATTTTCAGTGGTCACCTGTTACCATGAATTTTTTTAAATGACAGATACACCTTTTCAGCTGAATAGACTGTAATCTCACAATTTGACTGCCTCGAAAACAGAACATTTGTAGGTAACATTTCAGGACATTCTGTTTTCTGAAGATCACTTGTTTTCCTATTATTGAGATGAATAGTCTTGTTATTCTAGTAGTAACAAAATGAAATTTGCCATCAAAATAAATTCACGGGAAAATTTATATTTAACTGATTGTTTTAAAGCAGTATCTCTGATAAGTATCAAACTACTTATGCTGTGATTTTAGTTCGATATGAAAATGCAATAGGCAACTTGACCATTGACCGAATACCAAGTAATTTTCACCATCTGACCGCCAGGTAAGACGCACAAGACAAAGTGGTCTGAGAAAGTGAGGACAATTCATCAACTTTGGCAAAAGTACATTATATGCATATGTTACCGAAATTCGGAAAGGCAGGGTAGTCAAATAAATACTTTAATTAGGTGTAAAGTGACTGGGCACTTGGTTGTCCAATGAAATTCTGTCTCAGCTAAATAGCTCAATTTGTCGACTTAAGTTTTAACCGAACCCATCTGGTTTCAGTGTATAACAAGTTCAAAATATCGACATAAAAAAGTTCACAAAGTTATATACATAATTAATATCACAGAGTTTACATGTTTTACCATAAGATGACCCCAACCACCTTCATGTAGAGGCAAGTTAGTTGAAGCCAGGTTGCTCTGAAATATTATACGTAACATCAAGTAATAGACGGCCTGTCTAAAAGTTCGGGCTACCGTTTACCTCCATCATCACATATCCTGTTATTTCTCGCGTTCAAATTGCTTTAATCTATGAAAATATCACCTCTAGCGGTGTTAATTACTCTCTCTTTCTCAGGTTTCTAATAAACTTGAGAAAACATATATTCGTGGGTCGCAAAGTATCCCTATGCATGACATGACTATTCCTGAGATTTATAGCACAAACTGAAACACCGCCTCGGAGACAAAACTAACTACCTGTAGTCTTTAATCATTCAGCTGTGTCTTCGGGTGGCAAATGTACTCATGTAATTCTTTCAACTAGATATTGTGCTTTTTCCGGAGACAGAGAAGAGGTATCACAAGGGATTGATTTGCGCTTTAGGTCAAACATCATTGCATCACGCCACCTACTATCAGTAATTATTTCAATTTTAGATGGCAAGTCAAGAGAAAATAGTATTCAGTAAATTCTACTGATAATTCTGTACATTTTCATAACCACTGTCCAGAATAAAGCTAATATTATTACTATTAAAAATGTATGTAGGTGTTGTGTGAATGCAAAACAGAACTCAATACTCGTCATATTCGTAACTCGTCTTCAAATCAAAACTGTTTAATTTGACTCTCTCTTAACCAAGACGGTTATTCCTTAAATTTCGATACATTCGAAACGCTGTGAAAACAGTTATTATTTCAGTTAGAAATATAACTGTTTTCCGAAAAAGTGAATGGCTAAAACGACGTGTACTTTTCGTGTAGAATGTGTAATATTGTTCAGTTAAATAGGGATTAACGATTCAAACAAAAACAATGTTCATTTGAATTCAACTAAATAAATTAACTAATTTTTTTATTGAAAACAATTTTAGAAAGAAAATGTAAGTTCTAAAGCTTTGGACAATACGACATTTCTATTCACAGTCAATTATTGTCGGTATTACGGATTCGCAGATTTACAAAATATGCAGTATTTCAAATGGATTTAGTAGATTTTTTTAAATAGGCCCGAATTCAATACAATAAACCTCCACTGATATTTTATGGACCTCTAAACAAGAAGTGGTAAAAGCTTTCTGATTCAATTCCAGAATACAGAAAATTTGTATTTCATAAAGTCTCACAGAGTTATAATGTAAAATATACTGATGAGCGCAGGGTGAAAAAAGTAACAAATTTTTTTGAGTATAGTTTGATTCCACATCGTAATTTTTGTAAAGGTATGGAATTCTCAGCATGTGATATCAGTGGCCCGAATTGATATCAGGTGTGCGTCGGCAGGGAATCGAATCCAGGACCATTTGCATGGTCGGCGAGAGTCCTAACCGCTTTGCTACCGACGCAGGTAGGAAGTAGACAAAGCAATCAGTAACAAATGGCATTGCTTTATTCTTTTAAAGCTACCCTGATTTGCATAAGAGTTGTTGAAAAACAATCAGATCAATAGAAGTCTTCAAATATTATCTGTTTAATATAATTTCCAACGCATGGTGGATGATTACAAGATTCAATGAAGATATGTGCATAAGCGCTCAGAGGCTGTCACGCCATGACACAGAAACTAACTTCATACGTGGTCTTCACACTAAGTGTTTACAATTAATAATTACATACACGATAACTGAAGAGAAATGATGTCCATCGATGGATTATACCATCAACCCGACTGTTTTATTCAGTGGGTATCAGTTCCTATGGTGAATTCATGTGGTTTTGATTACGGATACTATCGCAATGTTAGCTCGAATGAATATTCAGTTGTCACCTTCATAACTGCTCTCGTGACAACACCTTTGCTCGCCCTACGTGTTACGACTAATCTTGTCATATGAAATATGAAAAAAACATCATTTCTGTTGTTAGCCACTGAACTGTGATACAAAGGAGATGAATTTCTACTCTTTTATTGATGAATTCCATCCGGAACTTTAGACAGGCTATTTTCAGTTACAACACACCTAATTGTTATATACTGCATAGTTATCATTCATAAACTTCAAAATATTAATGGCATATTTTTACATTGAATGTTGACATTTCTTTAGTGAATCCTGAAAGTAAGTAAGCTCAAATACTGCTGTAAACTTGAAATTAACATGAACCCAGCAAATAAGTCTACTCGTGCAGTTATACTTTGCTCTCTTTCATTGATTTCACAGAAAAGCGAAAAATGTCATAAACACCATATACGGGCCAATATATACACGACGAAATAATTGAATGCACAGTTAGCTTTGATTATAAGATATGTGAATTTGCGAATTAATTGGTATTGTAGACTGATGATCACATATTTACTAGATTCACTGTTCCACATGTGAGCGTACACTTTTCGATAGTGTTCTTATGATCAGTGATGTGTCTGTCATTCTACGTATATTGGCATCAGTAGAACCAATAATGCAACAGGTTTCGAATACAATGCACGTAATTTGATTGTAATTATTAATTCTACTGGCGCGTATATTTAGGGAATTCATCTGAAATGTTTGAATGATTACGTGAACTGCATATCTAGTGGATAGATAGTCAGGTGTCTAGAATCCAGTGTTAACTGCATTCACTGAAATGCTTCATTTATGTTTTATGTATGAGATTTCCCTCTTCATATTTGGCTTATGTGGTTGAAGATATATAGTGTAAACTATCATTCTGTAAATTATTTCGCCGTGCGTCCACACTAAAATCTCGTATTTCACTCAGCAAAGAGATAATCGATGTCACTTTGAAATATTCATCGAAATTACTAATACAACAGTATTTTGTTGCGTAATTTCAATTACTTGAGTGAGCAGGCTTGTTTGAATATGACTAGTAGATACAGAAATATTGAGATGAAAAAAGTCGGTTTCTGTCAGTGGATAGCGTAGTAAAATAAGACCATAACTCATGAAATACATGGGCAGAAAAATATCTATAAGCTTCCACTGTGGAATGAACTCACTTTGATTCGAAACCTTGTAATTCCCAGCAAATATTGCAAGCATGAGTATTGAATCATCAGAATCTAATGGAATATCACTTATAAATAAGTTGATTCAAGGTAGGTAGGTAGAATTAGTCAATTTGTTGTCATTGTATTAAGCGGTGAATACTAATTTCAACTAAATCACTAATACACTTAATTAAAAGAGTTAATGCAGGTCTTCAGTTAAATCGTTATCATCTTCAGTGAATTTCAATATCTACCATGGATTTTAGAACAGTAAAATAATTTAAAACAGTTAGTTGCTTTTATGAATTCAAACAAAGTAATAAGGAGACGTAATTTGTGTGAATCGTGTGTTGTATTTGCGCAACACATTTCGAACAATCTGATCACACACGCACTTGTCATAGGAATATATATATATATATACTAAATTAATAAAGAGTTAAGAGGTGCGAAAATAAATTTAAGTGAAGTTGAAAAGAAATTTTGAAGGTCAAAATACCGATGAAGCTCTTCAAACCAAATAAGAGTTAATATTACATCTGCTATGGTATCAAAAAAGTTTATCAAGCAAGGTTTAGTGTGAATACATTGTTTTTGAACTCATAAAGGTGGTTTAAACCTTCTAATTGCCAGGGTTTCCACACATTTTAGGATACGCCCCAAAGACGTTTTGTAGATAGGTTTAAAAGACGTGTAAATATCAATTTTATGTCCTATCTCTATCATGTGTTTCGCAAAAGAGGAACTAGGTCTCCTGTTATCACAATTAATAGTGTCCAGGGATTCTGTTTGCTTCTGGAACCATTCAGGAATTTGCTCTGAAGCCCCTACTTGCGGAAATCCATGTGTCCTCCCCATGAATATGTGTTCACACGTACATTGCAATTGGCATATGCAGTGGGATGTGACATTATTTTTCGCATGTTCAAAGGACTTAGATGGATACTTTACCGTCACATTGTCAATCATTACGCTATGAGCTGCATATAAAGAATTGTAACAGCCTTCGTCTAGCATAAAGCTGCTATGATGATTCTTATATAATACTCGACGAAGCATTCATCATAATCTCAAAACAAGATTTTTAATTGTTTTGTTAAAACAAATATAGTCTAACTTCGATAATTTACGGCATTTAAGCATGAAAACTAAAGAAACTTCAACCTACAATTCAATCCAGACGATAAAACTCGTTCACAACTCTTTCTCATATCAAATATATACCTGTAAGATAGAGGTTCAAGAGGAGTACAGTAAGTCAAAACGGTGATCCAAAATCAAAAAGAAGTGGAAACACAAATGAGGTGACATCTTTCCAGATTATGCCCATCATTTTCTTAACTGTCTCAAATCAAAGGAAATTCTGTCAGCAACTTTCATCAATCTCACGACCATTCAAACCATACCAGTGGAAACTGACTCTAAATCTTCATTCAAACTTATGACGATTTCTGACGAAACGTAAATAAGCGATGACATATGACTGAGACATTAAGGTAATTTTTATTCAAACGATGTTTGATCGTCATGCGGTGAGCCTCAGCTCTCAATATCACTGGTGCATCAGAATGCTGTTCGGAAAGCATTTCGATATTTCGTCACCTACAATGACAACGACTGCAGGAAACAATAACACAAATACACGAAATTTCTCGTAAGTTATTCAGAGTCATCTCTGACTATTCTTTGTCAACTTAAATCTCATCTAAGATAATCCTTGTCATAAGTAAACTGATCAGAATTTGAAAAATTAAACACTTTTTACATCACTAAAAATTAAATCTACTCTTTGTTATCTTCTCACTGTTGTAGGCAAAGAAGAAAAAGGAAAAGGAGCCAGTAAGATTACTGAGTACTCTGCACGAATTTATAGCAAAGCACAATTTAAAAAACTAGCTTATTTGCGATGGTTGTTATTAGTTGGTTAATAAACACAATTCATTACAATAAATACAATCCTTCATAATTCAGGAAATACATTTTTTTGTCATGAATTTTATCTGTTGCTTTCAACAACTGAATGGCTTGAAAAGAGTGTGGATAGAGTTGTATTTCCACATACTGCGATGTTTTCTGTAGAAGGGGAGGCGTGTAGGCGTCGATGTCTCCCGGTAGCAAAAATATGCTTTCATATACCTCATTTTCCCTAGTTTTCAGTTTAACCAGATGTTGGTGGCTCATTTTGTAAAAGTCTAAGTAAAAATAACAAATAATGATTTGTCATTCAGTATTCAAACTTCACTTTGTTTAGATGAGTTGCAGAGCCGGAATTTGGACACGGTGGTATTTTTCTCCTTGTTTTGAAGATTTGTCAACTCTTAGTTTTGTCGAAATCGTATTTTCTTGAAGTCAGTGAGCACAGTTTACTAGAGTTCACCTCTAGATATTGTTTAAATGTGATTGTCTCGTTCCTTTTACGTATTTAAACATATCTGTGCATTTTCAATTTACGCTGAGACTTTGGAAGGAGTACTACAGTTTAGGATATTTTATTTCGAATCGGTTCATAATCTGGTTAATAACTACAATAGCTTCGTTCTGTTTCCGAATATTGTATTGTGTTATCTGTTGTTTTTGGTTATGTGACAGCTAAAACTGACATGTAGCGAGGCACCACTTGATTTACGTTTATGGAATGGGCGGTTTGTTCTATTATATAAGGAGTTAACATATCTGACTCTACGAAATGTCTATTTCTGAGTACTAATCCAATCACTGTATATCGTTGATACAGGATTTTGAATGCTTTTCCATTGAAAGACAAGCATCATATTCTCATAATTTATCTTACTCTTGAATAAGCCAAACATCTAATATCTACTGATTCTGTGCACGAATCGAACCGATTAAATCATTTCTTTGGGAAAAATATATAGAACACCTCAAGATATACAGCATAAATAGGTCAGATATTGTCATTAACAAATTACTGTGATCAAAATGAAATGGGATATAATGTCTGCAGATTCTCTGGTTAAATTTTCACCGTCAATTGCAATACCATTTAGCGGAAAACAAAGTGTTCTGTTTTCATTTTTTCTTGTAATGTAGAGCCTGATAACTCTGATTTCCTAAGCGGACTGATGGGTAAGTAGTTTACATATAATTATTCACCTGACATTCTGTAATATTTAAGCAATTACTGATGGCATTTACAGTGGAAAAAATGAGGTTTACGCACTGTTTTCACGTGCACTGGCGTTGAAAGCATGTGAATACAGTTTAATTCTTAAAAGTAGAAAACTATATCTCGATTAATTTTAATTTTGACCTGTATTTTTGTAATATAGTAATGACTAATGAATGGGATGTGGGATTATTAAGTTGAGTAAAATACATTTTCCAGTCACAACATCCTTGATTCACCATTTGCAGCCTCGGTTGGTTGCACAATTGATTGAAAAATAAATCAAATACAGTGTAAGAGATAAAGATACTTGAGTTCGATATGATCATAAGTTGCAGTCAGTCTAAATACTTTCCTGAGTGGAAAACGAATCACCGAAAATATCTTTATCTAAATACAAAATAACAAGTCAAACATGTTGTGTACCTCTGTCTCTATTTCATTCACCAATATAAATAAATGAATAAATATGCGCGAAAAGATATGAAATTCTACGTAGAGTGTGATGCTGTTAAGTTATGAATTTCACTGGTATAAACCCTCGAATTCAGAGTCCATTAATGTATCACCAGTGATTTAAATATATAGATGCACATATGAAAACGTCAGGTCCCTTGAATTAAAATGTCATCCCCCTCTGCCTACCACATTATTTCCACAATCCATTCCCTCATTAACCTTCCTACTACAATTTAGTGAGAAGAAAGCTTGATTTATGGGGTTCAGGTATGATGAGGAGATGTGGTGTGATGTAAAAGTTGTGGCTGCTGATAAGGTTGTTGATGACATCACGGTGAAACTTATGACTATAAACACAGTGTTTACTTGGGTACATTTTGAATCATGATCCACTGAAGGATTTTCAAAATCTCTTCCTCCTTCTCCTCCTTCAAGATGAAATAATTCACTTACGCCTTCGTTTTCCTATTTTGACCTTCAATGTTCTCAGTCGGTCAATTTGTTAAGTCAAATTAAGTTCTTCGTCTATTAATATGAATAAATAGTTAATTTTCCGTCACTGGTTAAATACTTCAATATCGACGGAGGCGTCTGTCAACGAAAGTCTGCATGCTGTTGTGAGTACTATTCTTGACACGCGCCCCAATTCTCTGGACCATAGAGAAACACTCACTTAACACTAGTGTTGAAAATTCGGATGCTATCCCTGTGCTAGATGTTGTAGATCTCTACACCAGTCTCAGAGTAAAGAACACCAGTCTTGCTTTACCAATCCGATCCTAACTTTGCCGTCCACATCCATGCAGTCTGCAGTTGGAACGGTGCTAGCCAGTCAAGTAAGTGAATAACACTGCTACCTCTAGATTGGTCCCGTTGGTGGTGATTGTTGTTTGTTGATGTTGGTTAGGTGTCTTCGCCAGCTTAATCTTCTCTATTTACACCTGAATTCTTGTTGTCGCTGCTTCTTATACCGAATTGTTGGTCTCGCTCGTGAATCTTCGAGTTTGTGGGTTATGAGACAGAAATCATGCGCAAAATTCAGATCTACCAGGTTCTTTATGAGGGTTCAATGCATGCCAGTCCACTCACTATTTATGGTCTGCCATCAATATATATATATATATATATTCTTACTGTTCAGTAAAATAATTTTCATATTTCCAATAAACTTTCTCACCAAATACACCCTAACTACTATCTCCTGCCATATGCAATTCAACAACTGTTATCTTGGATTTTAATTTTGCACATAAACACAATTGAGATTAACAAATTGTATTTCAATTCAACAATTTCTCTAATACAGCCAAAACTCAAAAGCAACTTGGCGATCAACTGAGTAAGTATATGAAATGTATTATTAAATAATTGACAAAACGTATAATTTAAGAATATCATTTGAACAAAGACTCAGTATAGATTTCAGTACTAGGCGTTAAGGTACATTTCGTAGTTAAGAGTGCATTTCATCCTAAGTGTGAGGCATCTGTCCAACTGAAATGCTTTCAAAGCTAAACATATTTATTCCAAATCCTCTATAATAGAGGAAATCAAACTATTTCACAGATGAAACAACGTTTCATTTATTCAAAGTAATGACAGGAGAATCCGAATGATGAAGAGGTGTTCAGTTAAGTGCAGTAAGACGAGAAACAGCGAAACGAAGGAAGACCTGAAATTCTGTCTATTGTATGTTTACTATGAAAAGTAGAAAATTTACGTCAAACATCAACTGACAAATGGTTTCCTCCAACAAACTTCTCACTCCACACTATGTGTGTATTGTTAAGGCTTTTATTATGCGAAATCTTTTGACGAGTTACGTTACCTTCTTCTTCCAGTAATAATAATAATAATTTGCTTTATTCTAGAAAAAGTACTAGGGGTACAGTGTGGAATTTTCAGCACACATAAAAGTGTGTTAGTTGTCTGTTACCTTTAGACTTCTGAAACTAGTGGAAAACTGATTCACCAGTCATATCAGCTCTCATATCTACATATGCGTTGCTTCAGCGTAAGTTTAAATTCTCATCAAATTTAAATTCTCAACAACGCTTATTCCGCTTCTCTTCTTTCTCATCTAGGCAACACTGCAAATAACCTTTTAAAAGATCTCTTAAGTAAGCAATTCATCTAATGCTGTGTACCAGTTATGCTTAAATATGTTGTCATCTGTTGGAAAGATATTTTTGCAAGAATGAAGTGTTCTATTGGTTTTCAATATTTAAGTGGTTTACTGAATTATTATTATTATTATTAGAATAGTATCTGTTGATTCTTGTTGTGCTGGGTAATTCGATGACTGCTAGTCACAGTATTGGTGAACATCTGATAAACAGTAGAGTAATAAATTCCCAGTCAGTGGTTATCCCTCTGCTCACATAATTATCATTCGATATTTATTTATATTCGTTTGTTAGGAGAATACTAATCCGTGTAGTAAAAACTAATACGTCGTTTCCCAGGATTTTTCAACTTCCAAACTAACTCTGTGTATTTTTGTCACTTGTGTTAATTAGGTCTGTTTAACTAGGACATTCTTTCTTTCTTTTTCCAAATCCTTTGTGTTACAAATAATTTGAATTGCTCATACCAGTGACATTCGACGTATTACATTATTCATATCACATGCTGTACTACCACAGTCCACATCAATCAACAGCATGCATATAACTCAGTCTTATAGAGGCAGTTATAGTGCTGACTTATAAAAGAATAGAATAGGATTTACTTTGTTTATTCATAATATGATAATCAGACAACACAGTTTTAGAGAATACGTATTTTCGGTAGTATTTCGTCAGGTTTACAGTTGCATAGTAAAACACTGATCATAGACATTTGCAACCACTGTGATTAGTAGAATTAAAATACAGGAGTATGATTAAGTAGATGATGGTAGTAGTAAGGGTGATCATAGCAGTAATAACAGGGGTAAGTTTATGACGTAAATTTATGCGAGAATCTACATGACGTGGACAGTTAATAGCTGTGATTGACTATGTAGTAGGTGTATATCTGCAGAGTTAGAGAGGAAAATTAACCAGTGGTCTTCTAACCGATGTATATTCATGATCAAAGACTGAAACCAATCAAATCCCTGCAAGCCAACACCTGAATATCAATCTGATGCTCACGAGTGACTTCCCCTATTCAGTTAGGTAGTTACCTGGCGTCTAAGGCTGAAGTCGTGACCAGTAGGTTACATCAGGTAGGGTGCAAATAATCGCGACGCATGACATTCACTAGTGGTGGTGGCATATAATGAATGAGTAGAAGTCAGAATTGATGCAGAATGTGTTGGGTCCCAGTGTCGTAATGGTCTACGACCTCACCTTGTAACCAAAATGGCCTGGGTTCCAACGTCAGTGTGTGTGTGTAGTGATGAAGAGACGCAGACAAGAGTGACACAACTGTCCACTACCCCCAGTATATACCTACACATATACATACACGAAACGCCTTGAAGAGCAGTCCAAATATTCATAACGGTGACACAAAATCAAAATGAAGTGGAAACACAAATCAGGTGACATCCTTCCAGATTATGCCCATCATTTTGTTAACTGTCTCAAATCAAAGGAAATTCTGTCAGCAACTTTCATCAATCTCACGACGATTCCAACCATACCAGTGGAAACTGACTCTAAATCTCCATTCAAACTTATGACGACTTCTGACGAAACGTAAATAAGCGATGACATATGACTGAGACATTGAGGTAATTTTTACTAAAACGATGTTTGATCGTCATGCGGTGAGCCTCAGCTCTCAATATCACTGGTACATCAGAATGCTGTTCGGAAGGCATTTCGACATTTCGTCACCTACAATGATAATGACTGCAGGAAACAATAACACAAATACACGAAATTTCTCGTGAGTTATTCAGAGTCATCTCTGACTATTCTTTGTCAACTTAAATCTCATCATAAGTGAACTGATCAGAATTTGAAAAATTAAACACTTTGTACATCACTAAAAATTAAATCTACTCTTTGTTATCTTCTCACTGTTGTAGAGACAGACGAAAAAGAAAATGGAGTCAGTAAGACAACTGCGGGCACTCCACCAGCTTATAGTAAGGCACAATTTAGAAAATTAGCTTATATGCGATGGTTGTTATTAGTTGGTTAATAAATACAATTCAATACAATAAATACAATCCTTCATAATTCAGGAAATACACTTTTTTGTCATGAATTTCATCTGTTGCTTTTAACAACTGAATGGCTGCGGTGTTTTCTGTAGAAGGGGAGGCGTGTAGGCGTTGATGTCTCCCAGTATCAAAAATATGCTTTCATATACCTGATTCTTCCTAGTTTTCAGTTTAACAAGATGTTGGTGGCTCATTTTGTAAACGTCTAAGTAAAAATAACGAATGATGATTTGTCGTTCAGTATTCAAACTTCACTTTGTTTAGATGTGTTGCAGAGCCGGAAATTTAATACGGCTTCTTCTTGTTTTGGAGATTTGTCAACTCTTAGTTCTGTCGAAATCGTATTTTCATGAATACGATTAACACAATCTACTGAATTTTACCTCTAGATATTGTTTAAATGTGACTGTCTCGTTCCTTTTACGTATGTAAACATATCTATGCATTTTGAATTTACGCTGAGATTTTGGAAGGAGCACTACAGTTTGGGATATTTTATTTCGAATCGGTTCATAATCTGGTTAATAATTACAGTGGCCTTGTTCTTTTCCGGGAATTTGTATTGTGTTATCTGATATTTCTGGATTTTGTGACAGCTGAAGCTGACATGTAGGAATAGAACATTTGATTTGCGTAGGCGTCAAAGTACATTTTGTAGTTAAGAATGCATTTCATCCTAAGTGTGAGGCATCTGTCCAACTGAAATGCTTTCAAAGCTAAACATATTTATTCCAAATCCTCTATAATAGAGGAAATCAAACTATTTCACAGATGAAATAACGTTTCATTTCTTCAAAGTAATGACAGGAGAATCTGAATGATCAAGAGGTGTTCAGTTAAGTGCAGTAAGACGAGAAACAGCGAAACGAAGGAAGACCTGAAATTCTGTCTATCGTATGTTTACTATGAAAAGTAGAAAATTTACGTCAAACATCAACTGACAAATGGTTTCCTCCAACAAACTTCTCACTCCACACTATGTATGTATTGTTAAGGCTTTTATTATCCGAAATCTTTTGACGAGTTAAGTTACCTTCTTCTTCCAATAATAGCACACATAAAAGTGTGTTAGTTGTCTGTTGCCTTTAGACTTGTGAAACTAGTGGAAAACTGATTCACTAGTCATATCAGCTCTCATATCTACATATGCGTTGCTTCAGCGTATGTTTAAATTCTCATTATATTGTCAACAACGCTTATTCCGCTTCTCTTCTTTCTCATCTAGGTGACACTGGAAGTGACTTTCTAAAAGGACTCCTAAGTAAGCGATTCATTTAATGCTGTGTACCAGTTATACTTAAATATGTTTTCATCTGTTGGACAGAGTTATTTTTGCAATAATTACGTCAGTTCATGATTATATCCTGAAAAATATCCACTGTCTCATAGTGATTAGATAATAGTGTTTTGTTTAATAAAACATTGTGAAACTAAGATGAAAATATGCAGATATAATACACTATATTAATAATAATAATAACGAAGACGGTAAAAATCTGAAAAAATTAACAGATATATGATGTCACTGGAAATGAAAGTTATTCTGTATTGGGGTGAAACTCATTGTAGGAAGATGGACTTGACTGATGTTTTTTGAACATAGACTGGGTTGAAAATTGCTCATGAAAACTCCCTCAGCTCTCCTTAGCAGGTAAATACCTACAAACCCGGATAATTGAGGTGGCCTATTGCATAGCTATTTCAGCCAGATAAATATTGGATTTTTACACTCTCGTGGTTCATATTTATTTATTTCAGGTTATCGACTAAATTTATTCGCACACGTACTACTTATCCATGCATTTCATACTTTCGTAGCCTTTGGAGAGACTGCGAAGTTTTTATTGCCCTCGCCGACACCAGGCAAAAATTAAGTCGCGTCATCCTGGAGAGAAAAAATGCTTCAATCGATTCAGAACTCTTCCCGGAAAAAGCTAGATTCAGGAAAGTCAAATCATGTGATGATCACATTGCAACTGTAAGCCTCACTATCATTCAACAAATCATAGAATGATAGCCAAATCTCTACCTCATTTTCATCAACTTTGACAAGGCATTTGACAACGCTGACCACGAAATCATTTAGAAGCTGCTTCAACACGTCAGAGTCCTGTGACACAAACATTTATCAACCTCCTTCAAAATATATATGACAATTGCACATGTCAAGTCATCCACAATAGGAAACTCAGTGAGGCGTTTGAAGTGAATACAGGAGTAAGACAATGATGTCTACTATCATTGATGATATTCTCACTTGTGGTCGACTGGCTTATGCGGAACACTGTGCACTGGGAACAAGGAGACAGGAACACGTTGGACTGACCGACAAGAAGACCCTAAAAGATCTGGATTTCTCAGGTGATTCATGATCAATGACATACAAACTCGAAGACTTGCAGGTGAAAACTAACAAAATGGCTGAAGAAGCATGTGGCGAATACAGGACTCCAGGTGAGCATAGGGAAGACGGGGTTGATGAAGATAACCAACCAAGCAACAGTGACAATAACCAGCACCAATCACCGTCAACGGTAGAAATTTGAACGAGGTCACCTCTTTCAAATGTCTAGGCAGTATCGTTTCAGCCACAGACGGTACGTATGATGCCAAAACCAGGATCGGAAAAGCAGTAGGGACCTTCATCAGTCTGAAACTGGTTCGGACATCGAGTGCATTCAACGAAAGGGATACTCGTCAATATTACACAAATGTCAAATCAGTTAGGGCTTTTTTATGGTTCAAAGGCTTACCACACGAGCTACTGAATGCATTTAAAACCAGGGTTAGGCTTTCATCTATAATTGCCTTTGTCGCATGTGGGGGATCGGATCGCCAAAAAGGATTAACAGAGAGAAAATTTGCATTGCAATGAACCAAAGAAGAGCCTATTGCGCTACAAATATTCAGAAGGAAATGGAGACGGATCGGACAAAAGATGAGGAGACCACTGAGTTTGGTCTCGTCTAAAGCCATCTGGCGACTGTAACCTGAATGGGAAATGAGAAGTTGGTTCTCTGAGGGTGACATTGAGGAGACTGTGGGGGGGGGAGATGAGGATCATGTGCAATCATGAAGCCAACTAAAGATGACTGCAAGGAACAGGATGAAATAAATCAGTTCAGAACGTGATGAAGACATTTGAATAAAGGTCATGGCGACCTAGTAATTAGTTAGGGGAACTGTATGAGAAAATGCACATATGATATACAATAATATGTATGACTGCAAAAGTGCGTATCATTTGTCAGTGTATTCAGATTAAAATAGAATAAAACGACAACTAATGTTGGTTGCAATAGGGAATCATAAGTGTATCAATCTTTCAAACTAATAACAATAAATGATTGATTTTTGAATGTGGAAGTATGTAAGTGCTTTTCTAAGCTCAATGATGAATTCAGAATTCCATTTTAAACATTCATTTGAACTGTGTATAGCTAGTCTACACTTAATTAATTATCACTTAAAAGGACTAAATTTACCTGAAAGGGACTTGCAGAAATTCTTTTTATTACCAATTTTGTATTATAAAACAATCGAATGATTTTACAACCACTTTTCTTGATTAATTTTTCTATATTAAATAAATTATTCATTTTTTAAATTATCAACACACTAAAGCCCATGGTGACGATGAGGATGATGAGGTAAGGAAATTGGTAACACAAGCTGACTTTAGCTACTTGTGACTATACACGAATGATAAACAGGCTTCATAATAAGCTCCATTATGGATAAGATTTTATTTTGATAAATCACACAATGTTACACAGTAATATTAACTGATGACGTTTCGAGCACAAATTATTGCTCAAAATCATATCAAGTTACTCACACAACTTTTTCCTTCATTTAAATATATGTATGGAATTGACCAGATATTTGAATAAAAATCAATATGAGATAATGTACATTCAGAGATACATATTTATAAATGAAGGAAAAAGTTGTGTGAGTAACTTGATATGATTATGAGCAATAATTTGTGCTCGAAACGTCATCAGTTAATATTACTGTTTAACACTGTGTGATTTATTAAAATAAAATCTTATCCATAACGGAGTTACACTCTACCACAGTGCCCAAGTTTTATACTTATATTCATAATAAGCTAACATCATTTAGAGAACCTTTGTAAAACCAGGGGATTAGTAAACATATGTTTCGTCACAGTATGTGACTCTTCATCGCCATGCATCCATTTGGGTTCTCTGCCACTGATGTCAGCTCATGATCAAGTCTGTAACCAATCAAAACTTCTACAAACAAATACTTGAAAATGATAAACACTGTAGGGATATAAAACAAAATTATAACCAATGACGTTATTTATAAATAATGAATAGTAATCGAGATAAATGACATTGCACACATATGACTTGTGTATCGAGAATGACCTTGATTCTCAATATTCAATAAATTAGGCGACAATAACTACACTGGATTTCAGTAGTATGTATAAAAATGTATCCATACATGCACATACGAACAAATAAATATGGTAACATGTCGATGATTCTTTTCTTCTCTGAGGTTATTTGAAATTCTCCACACCAGAGAAGTTGTGCGTTTTACAGCTGAAAGGATTCTCAAAAACTTAAAGATTGTCATTTCTAAAACACATTTGAGATATCAACGTTCATCTGTCAAATGTATCAGAAGTACATTCTAATCATAAGGAGATTTACAATACAAATAATCACTTTTCTATAGTTTGGTTTGTAAGGGTTAGATATGTTTTTACGATTTGATCACGGATTGATATCAGTTAGAGAACCATTGAAAACCAGGGAGTACTGGACAGCTGCTGTTTCATCCTAGTTCTAGTGTGAAGTCGTGACCAGCGAGGTCCAATTAGATGTTACGTGTGTGGATGGATGTCCCACCAACGACAATGGTTGGGGTCGCGCTAAATCACGAATTGGTCGAAGTTAGAATTCATGAGCCATTGAATCGGGTCCCAGTGGCTGAATGGTATACGAGCTTGCCTTGTAACCGGAAGGTCCTGGGTTCGAATCCCAGTGGGTGCTTACTACCGATGATTCCCAAACTAGGATGAAACAACAGTTGTCCAGTACTCCCTGGTTTTCAATGGTTCTCTAACTGATATCAATCCGTGATCAACTCGTAAAAACAAATAATCACATTTGTCTATACTTTAATTTGCAATACAACTAAGAGTACTACTACTTAGAAATATATAGCAGCATCAATTAATTCATGCATTATAATTTTATTCTCTGATATGAATTCATGCAGAAACCTGTACATATTCACTACAAGTTATCTGAACAGACTGTTAGTGTGTATTCACAAGAAAAAAAAGATTTTATATTGCTTCAGTGTCTAGTTTACTGTAAACAACATACAATTTAATTGATGTTACTTTTCATATTTTCTTAACATTAGATTTTCTTTGGTTTGTTTTTTGTTTTTCTCGACAAAGGATTAGGTACAAACTTTTGAATCTCGTCAGCTTCTACTAACCACCTGATGACAAAAAAAATTATGCTTTAATTCTTCTTATTCATAACAATAAACTTTCAGTTAAAATAAATTGTAAATAAAAAGCCAGAGTGGACTTTTAGATTCAGTGTACGATTTTATTTGTTCTAACACACTTTTTAAATGTATTATTTGCGATGGGTGAGACTACTTGAAATAGCTACAGATTAACAGGCTGATATTGATTTAATTTTTTGCAATAATATGAAATGTTGCGTCATGATTCAATTCAAATTAGGAACTTCCAGATTATTTGTTTTGGTGCTACATAGGCTTAGTGACCTGAGAAATTTAGCTGTTAACCAGGTTATTATTTCACTAAAATCATGGCTTATGATATCTAAGTAGGTTTTATGGACTGGACTAAATTTGTACTAAATTTGCAAAAGGCTTTTCATTACACAAATGAGCTAACTAAAACTACTTTCTATTATATTTGAGATATTATCGTCATTACAACAGTGAGAGTCTTTCGAAATTATTGAGGGCATTATAACCGTCATGATGTACAAAAACAGTCTGCAAATGAGGTGTGGATTAGTTGGGTATCGACTCCTTTTTTGCTGATTTTTTTGTTTAAGAACATTTTCACTTAGCGTTACTCATTATAATGAATAGCTTATATTCAAGTCTACTGTTGACGTAGATGCGGATATTCCAGAAGTGAACTTTATCCATCAAACTATATTCATAGTTGGTGATGTCTAAATCTAATCTGGGGGGAGGGCGTTTTTTAAACATCTTCCTAAACATAAAGCAAAGAATTCGCTTAACGAGATGTACGAGGTTCTAATTGAAATACATAAATGAAAGAAAGAAAATTCAAAGAACTAAAATCTTGTCTCCTAATTTACAAAACTGAACCGATGGTTTCTACACACTCTGAGGGGTTCTGCTTCATTTTCGACAATATTTATAATATGCTTTAAGGCTGTAGTGAAAATTTATTGACTACATTATCTAGTGTATTTTTTAATGCAGAGGATTCCGAGAGAGTTTTATCAGACTGGTGTACAACGAAGACCATAGCAGTTTATAAGAGAGGGCTCAAGTTCTTCAGAGATTATGACCAGAAAATTAGCTTCACTAGCTTAGAACGTAAGATTCTAGGTTCCATAGTCCTACAAAGGCTAAGTGAAATCAAGGAAACATTAACTCCAGCAAATGAGGTTAGCTTCAAGCATTAGACGATAGAGCATTGGACCAATCTCCACTCTTTCACATAATTACTTAACACCATCTAACACTTGTCTTAACCTGGAAGTGGAATTCAAATCTTTCCCTACTGTAAGTGCTATAGAAATGTCTTGCAGACAGAGCAGTCATGAGGATGGAATTTTTCCTAGTCACGGCACTCACCTAAAACTCATGCATCCATGTAATAGATTAAGAAGAGTTGTCGTCTGTAGTAACAACAACCAGTAGTGTCTCTCAGGGATACATACCTACTATCACTTTCGTTTGATTAGATTATTCATTTATTAGTGGATTTGAGTGTAGCTGACTGTAACATATCGGGTTTTAATCCACTTTTAAGGAAAGATCTTTAAATATGTTTGACATTTAGTTCACTAGTGTCAAATATGAAATGATACTGTAGAATTAATTGAAAATAATTTCCAGGATAGGGTATGGAATGCTTGAATGCGTTCGCCACCTCAAATATCTCCTAACTTGTATCATCCCTTAAGAGCTAGTTGCTGACAAAATCTCGATTAGTTCAATATTTGTCAGTCTCAGCTGTCTTTAATGTAGGCATGAAATACGGCTATCATCAAACGCGTGTGTATTGTGCACTTATTCTTTCTGATAAAATCTACGGCCTTGAAAGATAACCTTAAAAGTTGCGATATGTGAAAGTATAAGTGGTTTTTACCACTGATACTTTCTTCTAATCTTTTGTATTTGCTAGAGCAATGTAGCCGACCAACTCATAACGCTGTGTGAAACAGTGAGATAGTCAATAATGAGATTAGAAAAAGAATGTTAAGTCAGCAGGTAAAGCCAACTGACAAGACCCATAGATTGAGGTTGCTTGAACATGACTAACTCATGGTGTCCTGCAGTGTGCTATTATAAATGTTGTTAGCTGAAAAAGAAATAGAAGGAAAGATAGTGAAGACTGTCCGGATCAAAACATAACACTAATCCATGAAGTGATTGACTGCTGTTCTTAGCAGGCTGTAGAATTGTAGATTGTGTGACTGACCGGCAGGATGAAAAAACCACTTGGCTAAGTATTTTTCTTGGTACGACGGGAAGTCATATATAATGGTGGAGACATATTCACTCTTTGTGATCGTCCAGCAGTCATATTTATGTTCTCTTGTAGTTATTTGAATTGGTTTCTCTTCTGTATAAAATTAGTAGCTGTATATAACTTCCCAAAATTATTAGCCTACAGCATTCATCACTCAATATTAGATACTGACCTTCATTGTTTAAGTTGACTCGTTATCCATAAGACTTGTAGTCAACCATCTACGCCACTTTGGTACGTCGTAGTGTTACGTCCGTTCGTTCGTTCGTGCACTTCCGCTTGCTAGTTAAACAATATTACTCACACTAAGTTTTTGATCATGAAATATATTTCGTATTTTGGATGATCAGTTTAGTGTTTTGATTTGCCTTTGTTCTACGCGGAACAAATAATTTAGGAGTTATAGGATAAGAACTTGTATTGGTATACAATGTATTCCGCTTAAACGTTATCGCTTTCATCTTCTATAGGTTCTACGAAGGTCTGCATAGAGTATATAATTGTCATTCGGGATACAGCTGTAGTTCACTGAAGATTTTCGTTCTCATATAAAGATTGGGTTTACGTTATTTATGAGGGCCAAAAGCGTTAAAATTCCCAACTCTGTATTCCAGTATCTTTACAGAAATCGTTGTGTAGTTTTTAGTCGCCATCAGTTGATGACAAACAGTGCAAATTTCTGCACTGCTTTTGGTAAGAGCTGCCTAATTGTGGTTTTTCAACAACACTACCAGTAACTTACAGTTCCATCAATACTGTTTCCTGGAAATCCTTAGTAAAATGAAATTCACGTATCGATACCGCATTGCTTGGTTTAACTTTTTCAGTAAGGTTCCAGTGGAGAAGATACCATTTAAAATTTACTCAAATCCTGATTAACCATCGACCAACTACTCCATCACTTCTCCTCGCTATAGCTCTACTCTAAAAATTATCATTAGTTTTTCCCATTATGATTTGTCATAGTCTTGAATTCACATATATCGTAAACAATTACACGGCAGTCATGAGATGACATATTTGACAACCGCTGTCTTCAACAAATCACCCAGTGATAGGTTGACAAACACAGAGGCACATACCGATGCAGTAACCTTGTATCACTGGAAACATCATCACCAACAGGTACGTTTGAAGGGGTTTGAAAGTATCTTTCAAACGATTATCAAATGATCTTCATCAAATTTTTGGTTTGCTGGAATAAAATTGATTTGGAGATTGATCACGAACTGACTTAAGTCAGAGAACCATAGAAAAACAGGAAGCACTGGACAGCTATTTCATTCCTATTTGGGACTCTTCGGCAGTTAACACCCATGACTCCAGGGATCGAACCAAGTGCCTTCTGGTTATAAGGCGAGCTTGTATGCCATTCAGCCACTGAAATCATTATCACATCGTACAGATTTCAGGGATTCACCAAAATAACCTGACAACTTACTGCAGTGGAAAAACAAAGTGAAGTTAAATGCAAATTCAAAAACATGCTTTATAGCAAGGGTGCAAACATCCAACTTCGGTGTATAGTGGCATTCGAAAAGAACAAACTTTATTAGTTAAGCAATCATCCCGCACTCCGATTTGGTCCCGAAATATAACTCGTAATTTGGATGGTCAATTCTAGTGTTTTCCTTTGCCTTTGGTCTACGCGGAAAGAATACTATAGAAATTGTGGATATTAGATTTTGCATTAGTAAACTTCGTACTATCCGTGAACGTCAATACCTTCAGTCTCTAAATTATCATTGTGGATGTCAAATGCAGTCAAAGTGACTTATGGTCTCGGTACTGAGACTAAGAATAAATCTTCGTCCACAGCCTGTTATAATATACTGTTGTGAAAATGAGGCACCCTAACCACTCTCAACTAAAAGTTGCATTTCAATAAGTAACAAACTTCCAGTAACCCGAAAACACAGTCCAAGTGAAACACCATATTACATGAGTGATACGCATGGCAGGTTGTGGAATTACCAAATATCTAATGATCTCCATGTATTTTTGAGATGCGAATTCGTTTATGTTCAACCAACTTTTGTGTTTGACATGACGAGTCACACTCTCACGAGGCATGTGATTGTTACTAGTAAGTATCAGGATTTATTCATAGAGAGAATGTACTGATATTTTCAAAAGAAGTTGTCCCGGGTAAACGCAGAAGTTAAAGGGGATTGCGTGTAAATTCATTATGGTTATTTTGTGATGCAATGACGCTACCATAATGTATATGTTTATTGGCTGCCTGCAGATTCGAAAAAACCGTCTTTCCTCCTAGCAGCAGCTTGTGGAATTCAAAATTCTCCACACTGCCGCGATATAACAGTTCAGCATCTAATATCCTTTTTGAGAGCTCGTGTAGACCAAATCAGTTTCTCTGGGCTGGCATCTTGATTGTAGAGACAGGTTCCTGGTCTTCGGTACACTTCCGAGTAGTCTATCCCGCCACTCAAACGGGAATGAGAGCACCAGGGAAGTGCTACTGCTGCTGTGAATGGAGTCACTCCTTTCAGCCGTTAGTCATCAGGTATGATCGAAAAAGCAGAATAATAATATGTGTATTTAGTGAAAATTATGTACAGTCAAAACGCAAAACAAACAGATAGATAATGAGATTTAGTGATTAAAACGTAAGTGAATGAATATAAAGATTAGTAAGAAGATTTTGGAGGCTAAGTGTGTTGACGATC